ATATAAAGACATGAAAGTTAGTAGTTAGACATTATAATAGAACTTGTAGCTATATTAGGTATGTTTTCAAGATTGAGTAGATATATTTTAGATAGACAGGTTATCTTCAAACCCTTCAGAGATCTACAGAATATGGCATTTAAAATGTTTTAATAACTTAGAAAATTTTTCTTTTTTGTTATGACTATGAGACATGTCGGCTCCTGGCAGTACCAATCTACTTCAGAGAAAATATGGGCATTGAAGAAACTGTATATGGAGTTAGCTTTCATTGTGGCAAAAGTTAGCCACTGGACAACAAAGTATCCTCGAATCAACTGCTGATAAAATGAACAGACAGGACATGAAACAAAGGACTACTGATTCTTGCCAAAACAAGTGTGGTTATGGCTTTATCAAAAGGCATCTTCTGAGGCCAGGACAATATGGCACCATCCCTGAGGTGGCCTTCACAATTCGGAAAAGGTACAGTGCCCTTTTCTTCGAAGGCAGCTGAACAGGCAGTGGGCCGATGGCCTCTGATGTGCAATGGAATAGCAGCTGAAACAGTTATTCTTGAAGAGTAACTAAGCTCACGCCTCTCAATAGTAGACTGGCATTTGATAGAGGGATATGGAGAAGAATGGGATGCTGAGATGAAGCCATATATACACAGCCAGGAAGAATGGACAGCTGAATTAAAAAACCATCAACAATTTCCAGAATTTAAAATCCTGAATCATGACATGAATCATGACACGACACTAGTGGAATTCAGGTGTTTCTGGTACATGGACTACTCTCACTCAATGTGAGGTTGAACTGTTGAACTTGTGTACATCCTACTTCACAAATGAGTCTGTCAGATATGCTAAGCCTATAGGCTGAAGATGATGCCCCAGCACTTCGGAGAAACCTCAGGTGACTGTCCAGACAGCTGTCTGTTTCTGTCAACTCACAAATTTTTTGGAAGTTGCTTGTATGCACTTCCTGTTTTTATTTTTGTTAGCTAATATTATTTCCTTCTTGGGTCTCTGAGGGAGTTGAAGATTAGTTAGTTATAGTTGAAGGTTAGTTAGTTATAGTTGAAGATTAATTAGGATACATTTTGGACTTACCAAAATAGGATAGATAATGAAATTATTTTCTCTGAATTTGTCAAATACAAATGGACTAGACATTGCTTAGGTATTTATTACTTGTATATATTGTATATAGTTATTGTACTTTTGTATATAGTTTTTCTTATATTAGTTATAAGCTTTTTCTTTTTTTTCCTTTTTATTAAAATAGAAAAGGGGAAATATGGTGATATTTTATTTGTATTAAAATGTTATTTGTATGTTAATAAATAAAGTTGCCCGGGGGTCAGAGCTATTAGCAAGCCATAGGAAAGCAGGGCAGTGGTAGCGTACGCTTGTAATTCCACCACTTGGTAGGCAGAGCTGGGTAAGTCTCTGTGTGTTCAGGAATACAGCCATTATTGGATACACATGCCTTTAATCTTAATACCAATCATGGAAAACCTGGAGGCCTATACAGACAGGCCGTGAGGAGGCGGTCATGTGGTTGGGTTTACAACCAATGAGAAGGCAGGACAGGAACTCTATATAAAGACTTTAACACAGGGGTAGCTCTGGTTTGGAGAGGTAGGACCACCGCAGGAGGAAGGGTAAGGTTTTAGCTCTTAGATCTGACCTCTTGGCTTTCTTCTTTGCATTGGTTCTGTGTTTCTTATTTAATAAGAAGGTTGGATACATCTACACTGTTAGGCATGGCCACAACATTTTGTCCATATCTATTTTGATTGAACTACTATAACTATAGCAATTTGTTTTTAAGACAAAGTCAGTCCTTTATCCAGATTCTTGATTACCCTTGTCTGTGGAACGTAAGAAATGGCCAATCAGGATATTTATGAAATATCTAAAATTGATTACCTAATTCCACATTGCTATTCTCAAGTACTGTTGAAGTAGGAAATCTGTAAACCCCCATCCTGCCTCTCCCTTTAGGAATTATGACTCCACCAGCTTCAAAGTTGGTCAATGAACTCCATTCTTGCACTCTTCATTTATAAGTTTCCACTAAAAGCCAGAGAGATGGGGGTCACTCATTAGATGACTTATTTTTCCATCTCACTGACCAGTCAAGGCGCAGAATGGAAGAAGTTGCAGTACTTTTTTCCCAAGCACTGGGCAGCAGAGCCAGGTATAGGTATTCAAACCAATTCTCACTTACATACAATAAGGCAAACCTAAACTAAAGGAGACATTACTCTACACAGAAATCAGTAATCAACATCACTTGAGAGAAAAGAATTAAAACTATTGATTACCTAGAGACATTGGAGAACAGAAACAAGTAGAGAAACGAGCAGTAATGCACTAAAAAGGGTGTTAAAAATGATACTAATAAGTGATATTTAAAATGATAAAAATCATGTATTTTTAAGATAAAAAAATTCAGCCATATTGATTTTGAAAGAGAATAGGTCCTTCCCTAATAGAGGGAATACCATTAATATGAGATAGATTGATGTTGCCCATATGAATATGTTGACTGCTGAGATTTATAACTTGACACATACAGTTACAGTCAATGGCCTGTTTTTCAAACCTCAGAGCTGACATAACTGTGTCAAACAGGATTGAACATATCTGAATAGAAGAGTTGCCTAATTGCAAATTCAATATTCATTGGCTCAAGATAACCTTCCCAAACTTTCCACTCTTACAATTTGGTCTGTGATCATACCTGACATGAATTAAAACATGCTTGGAAGTTACAAAATAACTGCTGCTACCACAGTCAGATCCTTTTTCATAATAGTGACCCCAGTAGATGAATGCATACCCTGCTTCCCCCTACAGTGTACACAATTCTTTCTATTTGGTCTGAAGTCAAAAGCAATGCTCCATATGTGAAACCTTTTCCTGTCATTGCATTGAATAGTTAACTACATGACTCAAATGGATAATTTTAAAACTCTGAGGTGGTACAGTCAATTAATTTAAGAATTTGAAGGTGTAGTATAGAGGACAGTGAGATCATTGGCCCAGAGAGGAAGAGAATAGAAGCAAGGCCACTGGAGTCAGCATAAGACAGCTTGTCTCAGAAACATTTTATTGACAGGATGGAAAAGCAGCTGTTCTAGAATTAATATGATTTCCCAGGCACAAATCACACTTAGGGTATTAATAAAGAAAAATACCATTAATAACAGTATGCATCAATCTCTGGCAAATGCTCAGAAAGGAGACAGTCTAGACACATTTTGCATTCAGCATATGCATGTACTGTCATCATTGTGTCTTTTAGCTTCATGATCCAGGTTGTACTTTGAACAATTTAAATAGAGAAAGGCAATGTGTAGGTCTAATCATATGGGCAGATGGGTGAGTTAGACAGCAAAAATATTCCCAGGATTGTTTCTTAAATATACCAGTGATCTGAAAGAGCAGATCATTCTTTAGTGACATTGTGTGGGGGTGAAGCTAAAAGGGGTTGAGAATGATGGGAAAAGTGGAAGTAGTAAAGATAACAGCCAGACTAGGGAGGTCTTGCCTAAGCTATGTTGTTATGTCATGTAAGCTTCTGAAGAAGAATAACATCTTGTACAGTAATTCCAGGGGGAAAATGGAAGAGAACGGATGACTTCCATGAAGTTAGCAGAAAGTATCATACAATGGGACAGACTCAGGAGGAGGCTAATCAAACAATGCTATAAAAGGGAACACAGGGCATTTCAAGATTATTGAGTAAGCCCACCTGTATTCTTGGGACTGATAACCATAGCTATATGTGGGATGTGAAGCAACCCCACCATATAAGTCCTGGTTCCAGACCATTACAAATTCACCCAAACATATTCCTGATTTTAGGGAAGGAGCTCTGTATTATTGTCAAAAAATCAGGTACTTAGGGAAAGCTCCCAAGGCCTGGGCCCTGACCTATTACCAGCTCTCCCAAGAATGTTTCTCCTCCTTGACTGAGGGCCTAAATGAAAGCCTTGCTTGATCAGGCCAGTCCTTAACACACAGTGTTTTTCAAAGAAAACTGGAACTTTAAGGCACACCAGGCCTTTCGGTGGTTTGTGACCCTGTAATGCCTCAATAAGCAGCTTGTTAGAACTCATGGTAAAGGTTTGGGCCTAGTGTCTGGTTATACATAAGCGTTGGCTTCTTTGTGGTGTTTTGGAGCCAAATGTCTGGACAATCCTGATGAACAAATGTGTATCCTACTGTCCTAATCTCTAACATGCCTGGCTAGAATATATTTATTTCTGGGGTATTTTAGAGGGAGTCCTCCCTCTGCTAAGTTCTATTTTGTGAGACTTTCTATCTCCTAAGCATTAATAAATCTTTTAAATCACTAATTCTACTCATCTATATCACACCTTAGTAGTGGAGTGCTACCCAATGCATGAGATGCTTTTTACAACCCCTCACAAATTTAACTATGAATGGATCTTATGTAAAAATTAAATGCAAAATACTGAACCTCTATATGGTACTAGAAGGTACCCTCCAAGTTTAGCAACCTGCTTTCCATGGGTGCACCAAAAGTATATTGAAGTTCAAAGATTTTTGAGGGGAGGGGGTTAGGCTTTTTTGAGACAGGCTTTTCTCTGTCCAGTTTTAGTGCCTGTACTGGATCTCACTCTGTAGACCAGGCTGGCCTTGAACTCTCACAGAGATCCACATGGCTCTGCCTCCTGAGTGCTGGGATTAAAGGTGTGCACTACCACTGCCCAGCTCATGCACCACCACTGCCCAGCTTCAAGGATGTTTTTAAGCACAGCTCCCTATTTTCAATTCTGTGAGCAGATTCAGCCCACAAATCAAAGTTATTCAGAGGCCTGCCCCTGGGTCCAGGGAGTTTCAAGTATCACATGGAACCTCATAGGACAGAGATTGTGCAGGCAAGTTCCAAACCAGATCCAGGGAGAACCCAACACACTGGATCCTACACCTAACCATCTGCTCTACCTCATCTGGAAACAGCAGCCCCTCACTCACCATGTCATGGTTTCCCAGGTCAGCCATGCTCTCTTCTCAGCTCCCTGTAGCAGCATTCACAGCACAGCACACAAAACCAATAGCACCAGATCCTGTTGAAAGCCAAGTATGAAGCCTGTGGCATCAGGAAAGACCCTGTAACACTTTTGACTGGCAGATCACCTCTGGACCTGATTGGCTAGTGAGACCTGAGTAACAAGAGCAACTCCCATAGGGTTACAAAGTGAATAAAAACACAGCACAATGTTTTCTGTTCCTCCCTTCCACCCCTGACAAAGACTTTTTTTAGATCAGCAGAAATATGCATATCAATAGCACTTGCTCCTGGCTGCAAAAGCAGACCTTTCTCTTTTTCTGCTCTCCATAGGCACTTCTCCTTCTTCCTCCTGGACAGAATGTGGCTAGCTAGCTTGTACAGACCACTATACAATGTGGGCTGGAGTGATTCCCTGCCACAAAGGTAGAAGGGTGCCTGGAATATTAACAACTAAAGAAAGATTTAAACACACACAAGGATAGTATTTGTTGTGTGACAACACTGACATCAGGTGAACTGAAGGTATTTTTTACCTAGTTGTCACAGGGACTTCAGACAACCAGCAAAGAAAAGCAGGAACTAGATCACAAACAAGATAATATGCCTTTCTCTCATCAGAAAGCTGGATGATGCCTCCATTGCTTTAGGAATTTTATTCCTGAAATTCAGAGCACACTGTGGGCAAATTAAATAATAAAGAGTAGTTTACATGGAAAGATGAATACTTAGAGAATAATGGAGCTAGGAAGAATGTATTTATGAGCACCATTGTTAGCCAGTACATCTTCCTCCATAGGTAGGTGAAAAAAGAACAAAATTCAACTGTCTTATTCAAGCTTCTGCACAGGATCAGGACTGGTAGAATGAATCTCTCCATGTATGCAGAAAATTTATTTCATAGAATGAATTTGCTACAAGCATGCAGGATGTGAAGGGGATAATTTTAACTAGCCCTGCCTGCTGTCTGTTTCAGGGCTGTGACATCATTGCAGATAATTTCATTTTTAATTATTTTATTTTATGTATAAGGGTGTTTGCCTATAGGCATTTGTGCAGAGTACTTGCATAGGCCAGAAAAGAGTTATAGGAGATGGTCAGGTATAATGGAACCTGTGTCCTATGTAACAACACCTGGTGTTACTTTTAATTGTTAAGCTATCTCCCTAGGCTACATCTTTATTTCAAATTTGTTTCCATACATTTTATTTAATATGTATTAATCAATTCCCCCCTCCTTGTCCTTTCTCCATCACTTCCCTAATTCTTCCCTTCCAATTTCTTACTTGTTAGGCATATGAGAATATGTTTGCACAAATAACATGAATAAAACCTGCTGAGTCCATTTCTTTGGGTTATGTTTATAGGGATTCAAGGATGAACACATTGCATTGAATATTCAATTAGGGAGCTCATCCCAGTCTGAGGCTAATTCTCCCACCTGCAGGAGAATTCCACTATTTAATGAGCAACAAGAGTCTTTTCCCCAAGTGATCTATGTGCCTTGGCCAGGAAACATTATCAAGAATAGAAAATATTATCAAGAATAGTAAACTTGAGGTGGTGAATACCTCAGTGAACAATTGCTGGTGCCAAGGCCCTGAATTTCTGGAACTGCAGGGAAAACTATGAACATTGTCCTGAGCCAATCACATTCTCCCTTTGTTCTATGGTCCTTACCCCATACCCCAAAAAGCATTCTTATTTGCATGACTTTGAAATCCAGTAATTTCTACCTCCAAATTCTAAGTACCATGATTACAGGCCTGTGCCACCGTGCCTGGGTTAGATGGCTTCAACTGCATTTAGTGAGGAATTACACTGATGTATTAGTAACAAAAGTAGTTATACTTAACTATATTAAAAGCTACTTATCTCTGTGAGCCTGAGTTTCACTACCTGCAAAATAAGGAAAGAGCTCTTCCTAGGTCATTGATGAGTTATAACAGACTCAATAATAAATAAAAACAAAATTTCTCATAGTTGGAAGACTGGGCAATAAGGCGGGAAGGCTACATCTGATGGGAACCTTCTTCGGTTACTGGAGATAGGACCAGAACCTCTCCCCTGGCTACTCTAACTAGGCAAGCTCAGCCATTCATCCTCAGTAAGCCAATTAAATGAACCAAGTTATTCAGTGAGTGACATGTCCACCTATAATGGAGGCACTCTGGAGGCAAGGTGGACAGATCTCTCTGATGGCCTAGGACAGCATAATCTATAGTGCAAGTTCCAGGCCAGCCAGGGAATCATAGTAATACTATTCTTTACAAATAATAAAAAAGAGAAAATGGAATAAAGCAAACTTTAATGAAAATTTAAAACATGATATTCAATCAAATTGACTAAGTTGGAACAATAAAGAAAATATAATTAATACATCCTTGGGGTTCTAAGCAGTTTAGATAGAAGGCAAAAGATATGCAAAACTAAGTTACTTAATGAAGACATGTAATTTTTTCCATCTTTAAATCCCTCCCACATCCTCATATGGAGGATTCAAGTCCTTTTTCACAATGAGATTTCCAGTGAAATTAGAATTTCATGTGGTCCACTGTTTCACTAGTTGTTAGCCAACGGGAGAGATATAAATGTCTCTTTAGAATATTCTTATTTCTACCAGGAATGCAGGTTACAGGGACTGACAGGGTGGGGATGGATGGGCTTTAAGGCCCAAGTGTGGACCACACAGTTGGGACCTGCAGGAACTTGTCACTGACAGCTACATGTACTTGTCTAAAACAGGAAAGAGTGAAAGACCTGGAGGGTAGTGATCCACCACAGCTGAGAGGATATAGAGAGCACAATAGAAGCCATCTTGTTCTCAGGTACCTCAGGTACACCCAAAGCATTCTTCTCTGGTCATTTAATCCTGAGCTTTCACACCCAAAACTCCTTCCCTAATGATTTTTTCATACTCTATACCTCTTTGTAAATGCCCGATTTCCCCAGACATAGAGTCACTTCTGTTTGAGTCTCAGGATCTCCTGACAATGTCATGTGGACTCACCACCATTCAGGGCTTAACTGAAAGTTTTATAAGCATCAAGAAAGCAGAATACCATCCTATTCAGAAAAGTCAGTCTTCATGCCTGCAAGTTCCTCTTCTCTCTTTACAGGAAGTAAAAACTCTAGCATGGATTCACCTGACAATTGTTCTTGTGGGCTCACATTGCTGCTCATTTTTTTGGCATTGAAGATAAATTTAATCTTCTGGCTTTGATCAAGCCATGAGACACTTTAAAGGCTTGTAAGTTTCTTTCATGATCATTTTTTGTTCTCTTCCCTCATTTTCTGGAGATTTGGGCTTGGGAACTTCTTTAAAAACCATGTCTATATTAGGTTTTGGATGTTGTCAAACTTGTATTTCTTTTGGGTGATCAGGGCTGAGGTAAAGATGAAATCAGGATCATCCCTCACACCTTACTGTTGTCATGACATGTTCATGGGGCTGAGTAGAATGTTCAACATGACAGCCCTTGCTACTCATCCACAGGGCCTGACTTTGTTTCTCAGCACCTAAAAGACAACTCACAACTCTCTGTAACTACAGGCACTGGGGATCAGACACTCCCTTTTGACACCCACTGGTACCAGGCATTCACTTGGTATACACACAGGCAAAACTCATACACCTAAATTAAATTTCACACATTTTGAAAATAGCATATACAGTATCCAGTACAGCCAACACTTTACTTCATAGCTGGGAAGTCCTACAACCAAAGTCAAGTCACATTCAAATGGTAACTGTTGTAAAACAAAAAGAGGCCATGGATTAGAATACAATGAAGGGTCCATGGGAGGTTTAGAGGCAGGAGAGAGAGTGGAAATAATGTAATTATAATGCCAAAACATCCTGTTAAAAAGTTGAAACAGGGTATGGCCATTGCTTCAGAGACTAGTGATTTGTATTAGAGCACACCAAGTTCTATTCACATCATTTCTCTTGGGGTATACATTATACATCTTAAACCTGAAAAACACAGTCATATTAGACAAGGTTACACCATTTTATCCCATTTCTTCTATTAACTTTGTACTGGTGTAACTACAGAAATTTGGTTTAATAAAAATTCAGTTCATTTTCCAGATTCTTGATTGCCTTATCTGTGGACCCAAGAAATGGCCAGCAGAATATTTATTTATGGTCTAAAACTGATTACCTTAGTACCCATATCTCATAGCAACTACTGTCACATCAGGAAAGCTTTCACCCTCTTTCTTGTTCCTCCTTTTCTGTGCTGTGACTATACCTGCTTTAAAGTTAGCAAGTGAACTCAATTTTTACACAGGACCCAATTCATTCATATATTCACAATAAAATCTAGAGAAGTTGGAGGATACTCATTCACTGATCTATTTTTCCTTCCCACAGTCCAGTCAAGCCCCAGCCAAGGAGTTTCAGGACTGTCTTCCCAGCACTGGGGCCCAGAGGCAGGATTTAGTGTTCAAAGCAATTCTCTTTTTTTTTTTTTGGTTTTTTGAGACAGGGTTTCTCTGTGTAGTTTTGCACCTCTCCTGGAACTCACTTGGTAGCCCAGGCTGGCCCCAAAATCACAGAGATCTGCCTGGCTCTGCCTCCCGAATGCTGGGATTAAAAGCGTGCACCACCACCACCCAGTAAAAGCAATTCTTAATTTTATGGTGTGAGACAATACTGAGCTACAGGAATCAGTGATCTAAACCAGTGGTTCTCAACTTTCCAAATGTGTGACTCTTTAATACAGTTCCTAATGATGCAGTTGTTCCCCTAACTATAAAATTATTTTCACTGCCACTTTATAACTATATTTTGCCACTGTTATGAATTATATAAATATCTGTGTTTCCCAATCATCTCAGGCCAGTCCTGTGATATGATCATTTGATGCCCCAAATGGAGCCATGACCAAGGTTGAGAATCACTGCTCTAAACTGATATAAATACATAAATAAATAAACAGCATTTAAGAAAAAAATGGAATGAAATTCTTAAATGGAGAAACATTGAAAATAGGAAAAAAGCAGTAATGCATTTAAGAAAAATGAATTTTTAAAATGATATCAATAATTGATGTTTTTAAATGATAAAAATATTTGGAATAAAACTTAGCTATACTGACTTTGAAATGGAGTAGGCACCTCCATGATAAAGTAAATACCATTAATACAAGACTGTGTAACTTTGTACCATGTAAAGTATTAGCCTCTGATTGTTATAAGCTAATACATAGAGTTACAGCCTTTGGCTTGTGTCTCAAACCTCTGAGCTGACTTAACTGTGTCAACCAGGATTACACATATCTGCACAGGAGAGTTCGCTAACTGGAAATTGAATACTTTATAGTTTAAGATATTCTCCCTAAACTGTACACCCACCAACTCTATCTGTTTTTATTCACATAAAAGGAATTAATAATGCAGGAAAATTACAGAGAAAGTCACTCTCCCTGCCCCATCAGTCCTTCTATGTAATGGAGAACCCTGAAGCACACTGTCTTTAACTTCAGTTTGTGATCTAGCTATTGTCTAGTCTGTTTCCTCCTGCAGTGTACACAGTATACTGTTCCTCCTCTTCTGGTCTGAAGGGAAAAGCCATGGTCCACATGCAAATACTTTCCATGTTCTGCAATGGATATTGTACTTTGTGACTCACATGGGTCATTTTAGAACTTTGTGGTGCTGCAGACATGTAATCCAAGAATTTAGGATCATTTTAGAACTTTGTGGTGCTGCAGACATGTAATCCAATAACCTCTTGGTTATTCAAGAGGATAGCAATGGCAATGTTCTGTCAGGCTACAGAGAGGGTTCAAGTCCACCTCAACCAATGTAGGAGACCTTGACTCCAAACTGCTTTTCAAAAGACTAGAGACACCCTTGTTCTAAAATTAATATACCTCTGTGGCACACCAGGGCTTAATGTTTGTTGTGACCTTGTAATGGTCATTTGAGCAGCATTTATAAGCCAGTTTTTTAATGGAGGGATGGGCCTTTCTGCTGGTTATAAATCAGGGTTGTCTCCTTTGTTATGGGAATGTAGCTGGTTAATTTTGGGGAAAACATATTTACATCTTATCATATTAATCTCTAACAGGCATGGTTAGCATACTACTTATTTTGGGGGTATTTTTTATGCACCCCTCCCTTACCTAAATTCTACTTTGTGAATTAATGTCTTCTAAGAACTGGTAAGACCTTTATCTATCAATTCTACTTTTCTACATCATAGTTTAGCAGTGGATTGCTACTTTACACAGGAGATACTGTTTATGAGCTCCACAGAATTAAGTCCAGATGAATCCTAAACCTAAATGTGGAAGGTTCAAAGTGCAGTACTTCTGGAAGATACCAGACCATGGTTCTCTGAATGTGGCAAACCTGGGTTCCATAGTGACAACATAAACACTAAGGGTGCCGGCACTTTCACAGCGGTTATTTCAAAGCACAGTCCCACTGCCAATGCTCTGCACGGATACAGCCAGTGGAGTGAAGTGACATAGAGGCTGCCAGCCAGTCCAGGAATTGCAAACACTACAGAGAACCACAAAGAAGCACACTGGCACATGCAGGACAAGCTGAACCATGCTGGATCACGCAGGACCAGGCAAGAACATGCGGAACTCCATATTCAGCCACTGGCTCCCCACCCAGCTAGGGAAGGACTCACCAGGCTGGCTCCCATGACCGAAATGACCACTCCTCCCAGTTTGGGGACAGCAGTCCCTCGCTCACCATGTTGTGGTTTTCCAGCTTGTTCAAACTCTCTGCTCAGTTTCCTGCAGCAGCTCTCACAGCACAGCAAACAAAACCACTAACACCAGATCCTCTTCAAAGCCAAGCCTGAAGCTGGTGACCGGAAGGAACCTGAACCACTCTGACTGGCAGGTCACCTGGAGCGCCTGATTGGCTAGTGAGGCATGAGTGACAAGAGCACCTCCCATAGGGTTACAGTGTGCTTAAAGACACAGCACAATGATTGCTGACCCTGTCTTCCACCCTAGACCAAGACTGTTCTGAGCTATCAGAGATTTGCATTTCAATAGCACCTGCCCCTGGTTCAAATAGCAGACCCTGCTCTCTTCCTGCCCTCCATTGGCACTTCCCCTTCATCCTCCTGGACACAATGTGGCTAGCTAGCTTGTACAGCCCACTATACTATGTGGGGTGGAGTGATTCTCTGTCATGCAGGTGGAAGGGTACCAGAAATATTAACAACTAAAGAGAGATTTAAAGACACAAAAGAAGGTGTTTGTTAGGAGTCTTCACAATGAGGTCAGGTGAATTGAAGGTACTTATTACCTGCTTGTCACAGGGACTTCAAACAACCAGGAAAGAAAATCAGGAACAAGATTAGAAGCAAGATAATAAATAGGTCTTTCTCCCATCAGAAAGCTGGATGATGGCTCCATTGCTTAAGGAATTTTATTCCTGAAATTTAGGAAAAAGTGTTGGCAAATTAAATAATAATAAAGAGTAGTCTTAATGGAAAGTTGAATAATAGAGAATAATGGAGCTAGCAAGAATGTCTTTTTGCGTACAATTGTTAGCTAGCACATCTTCCTCAGTAGGCAGGTGAAAAAAACACAACTGTAATATTCAAGGTTCTCTACATGAAGAGTACTGGTAGAATGAATCTCTCCATGTGTGTAAAAAGTAAATTTAATACAACATCTCACAATCTGGGGTTCAGGTAGTACAATTTTGCCTATCAATGGAAATTTGAAGAGTCTAGTAGTTGTTCAGTTCATGGGGTTAGATATCTCAGCTGGTCTTCAGAATACAACAAAATAACATGAAAGTAGGCTCTAATGTTAGTAAATGAATGAGCTTGGTGTCCAGTACTAACGCAAGCAGGGACAGAGCTTCCTTCTTTAATATACTTTATATATGTAGGCTGCTTACTGAGGTACAATCCAGATTAAAGATGGATCTTAAAATTTCTTTTTTTTTGGTGGTTTCAAGACAACATTTATCTGTGTAGCCTAGGAATTCATTTTGTAAACCAGGCCAGCCTCAAACACAGAAAAATCTAATTGTTTCTGCCTCCTGAATGCTTGAGTTAAAGGTGTACACCGCCACCAAGCAGCTGTAATTGAATTTTACCTTAAATGATCCAAATAAAAGATGTGTCTTTAGGCTGGGTGGTGGTGGCGCATGCCTTTAATCCCAGCACTCGGGAGGCAGAGACAGGTGGATCTCTGTGAGTTCGAGGCCAGCCTGGACTACCAAGTGAGTTCCAGGAAAGGGGCAAAGCTACACAGAGAAACCCTGTCTTGAAAAAAAAAAAAAGATGTGTCTTTAATTTCAAAACATTAAAAGAAAATCCTTCACAGATATACCCAAATCTTTGGATTTTTAGTTTATACCAGCAGTAGTCAGTTTGACTGCCAGGAATAATCATCAAAACAGCTAAGAATGAAGAAATGTGAACAATTTCTTACCAGCAGGGGCACGGAAAGCATGCTGTTCCTAAACAAAAGAAGGATTTTACTTAGGAAGTCTGGACAGGTTCATGTAGAATTCTCCCTATTCCTAAACAGGCAAGTAAACAAATCCACTTCTGAACATTATCACAATGTAAAAGCAGAGACATTTAGGGGTATTATTACTGCAATGCATGTAAGAATGTCATGAAGAAACTAATGTAAATTACAAAAATGATGAAAAGAAATGCTACTGGCATGTTCATCTTGTACCAATAGTTCTTAGCTGAAAATCAATAAATGACAGAGTGAAAAAATATTGCTTTGAAGCCTATGTAACCTGTCAACATTGATGTTCAATCTATCAGATAACTGCACAAATACCATTCTCACAGATGGAAAAGATAAATAGCACAAGGACAGAAAACTTCAAGGAAATGTCACTTAACAGCACTGTACACTCTGCTCTTAGAAGAATGTTTACGATGACCTATGTTGACCTCAGAATGAAGCTGCTTTTCCTCTGAGAAGGCTGGATCAGTAGACAACCACTACTCCTTACATGCAAGACCATAGGGACATCATTATAACTAGCCTTGGCAGGTGTCTGTCTCCAGACTGTGATATCACTGTAAAAAATTCCATTATTTCCTTTTTCTAACTTTAAAAAAATGTATATTTTATGGGTGTTTTCCATGAATGTTACAATGCACAGTAATTACTGGGGTCAGAGGAAGCCAGGAGACACTTGGGACTATGGTTACAGCAAATGGTTAGCTACCATGTAGGTTCTAGAAATGAAACCTCAGTCCTCTGTAACAACAGCCAGTGCTCTTAATTGCTGAGCCACCTCTCTAGCCCCTCTTTTTATTAAAAAAATATTTCCATAAATTGTTAATTAAAAGCTATTACATCCCTTTTTCCTTTTATCTCTTCATGTAGTCCCTTCGCCAATCCCTTCTCAATTCTTCATTAAGTGTGGGAAAATAAGCATGCTGACATACATGAATGCAACCTGCTGCATCCATTATTGTTGGTTGTATATATATGGATAATTGGATGACCATGTTGTATTGGACAGATAATTAGGGAGCTAATCCCTGCCTTATTATCTCAAATGGAGGAGACTTCTACTTTTTAATCAGTATCATATGTATGATCCTGTCTAGACTGCCTTGGACAGGAAACATAATCAAGAACAGAAAACTTAGGGTAGAAAATGCCTTGCGATATAAGAGCACTGAAGATTCTTTCAAAGCATCCAGCTTCCATTCCTAGTACATGTAGAAGATCACTATTAGGCAGAGGCAGGCAGATCTCTTTGAGTTCAAGGCCAGCCTGGGCTACAGTGTGAGTTCCAGGACAGGCTTCAAAGCTACGCAGAGAAACCCTGTCTCGAAAAACCAAAAAAAAAAAAAAATCACTATTATTTGTAACTCTAATATCAGGGGTTATGACACAATCTCCTGGTCTCTCTGGCAACCTTAAGAAGAGGAGACTTAGACCACAAAAGCTATTTATCAAGCTGTATGTGGTAGTACATTTTTTTAGTACCTGCACTCCAGAAACAGAAGTAGGAAGATCACAGTGAGTTTTACAGCCTGTGCTACATACTCTAAACACACACACACACACACACACACACACACACACACACACACACACACACTAAAAGTACAAACTTTAATAAAATACAAGAATAGGAGCATTGGAAAATTGGAACATTACAATACCTATTAAAGTCATTTCAAGTGTCTGCCACTGGTAACCACATAATCATTTATAAAAATAAATATGGCCTACCATATAAACACATGCCATCAATTCTAGCCACTGAGAAAAACTGAACATTTCAAGATGGGCCACCACCTTACCATGTGAACTAAACTGCTCATCATGAGCTGGGTGTTTTCAGACCCACCAACTCATAAATTAGGGCATGCACAGCTGCAATCTGTTATCAAACCAAGTGGGTCCTTAAGGCACAAGCAAGCTACATGAAGAAGGTGCCCAAATGCCTATGGGTTCTATTCCTGGTACAGTGCCTTCTGCTGCCAAGCATGCACCTATAGGCTCACGGGGGTATTCCCCATGATTGGTTAATGGAGTAAGAGAAGACTAGTGTCAGTTGATGGTTCTGTACATCACAGACACCATCCAGAAGTGGAGAGCTGCAGTATTTCAACCCTATTTGGCAACAAGCCTGAAAGATATTAGGCAAGGGTGTAGGGCGCCCAAAACAGCTTGGCCACACTGCTGCCTACAGGATTAGGGATCAAGGGATCCAGACACAGCTGCCATGACAGGCTTATTGGTAGACAACATTTGGATCTATAAACTGATACCACACAGACAACCACCCAAGGATGGGCCAGCAACTAAGGAAAAGTACCTGACATTCCAAACATTCCAACTATTACATAAGAATAGATCAAGATTGCCAGATTTCTGTGTGAGGGTGTCTTGCCCACTAGAACTGGTGCTATAGATAGTAGTGATCTATAATAAGGGTGTTGAGATTTGAATCCAGATCTTCTAGAGGAGTTAGTCAGTGCTCTTTAACCACTGAGCCATCTCCCTGCTCCCTCATTCAGTCTGTTAACTACAATTCTATTTTTTAAAATATTTTTATTTTATAATTAATTTAATTTTATATATCAGCCAGGGATTTTCCTGTCCTCCCTCCTCCCACCCCAAATTTCCCCCCAAGCCTGCCCTCCCATTCCCACCTCCTCCAAGGCAAGGTCTCCCCTGGGGAGACAGCCCAGCCTGGTAAATTTAGTTGAGGTTAGTCCAGTCTCCCTCTCTCTACACCAAGGCTGAGCAAAATGTCTCAGCATAGGCCCTAGGTTCCAAAAAGCCATCTTATGTACCAAGGACAGGTCCTAGTCCCTCTGCCTGGGGGCCTTCTAAAGAGTTCAAGCTAATCAACTGTCTCACTTATCCAAAGGGCCTGGTCCAGTTGGGGGCTCTTCAACTATTGGTTCACAGTTCATGTGTTTCCACTAGTTTGGCTTTTTATCCCCGTGCTTTTTCCAAACATGGTCTCAATATCTCTTGCTCATATAATTCCTCCTCTCTCTTGCTGATTGGACTCCTGGAGCTTCACCTGGGGCTTGGCTGTGGATCTCTGCATCTGCTTCCATCAGTTACTGGATGAGAGTTCTATCATGACAGTTAGGGTGTTTGGCCATCCAATCACCAGAGTAGGTCAGTTCAGGCATTCTCTTGACCATTGTCAGTAGTCTATAGTGGAGGTATCTTTGTGGATTTCTATGCACCTCTCTAGCACACTGCTTCTTCCTATTCCCATGGGGTCTTCCTTTATCATGGTATCTCTTTCCTTGTTCTCCCACTCTGTTCCTGATCTAGCTGGGACCCCGCTCCCCTAAGCTCTCTTTCCCTCGACCCTTGCCCTCCATTACCCTCC